TTTGAGATTGATTGCCACGATTAAGTTATTTTATTATCACATATATAATTATCATTTTGAAAATGTATTATAAGATGATATTATTTCGGATTGCATATTTGGGATTATCTAGATCTATATATTTGATATTCTCATCTTGACCTAAATATCCAACATCATTTCAAATTGTATGAATGTTTATTTGGCACCATCTTATTTTATGTCAAAGATGACAAAGTTCGTATCAAATGACATCATATTATATCAGACAAAATATTTCGATTAAGATTGTAAGAATCACCTGTTTTTAGTAATTAGTAGATATTAAGACATAAAACAAATCAATGAAATTTTAAACAAATTAATTAAAATAATAATTTACATGATCCAAACCTAACAAGATAAAAAAATTCATAAACTTAATATAAATAACATTGTTTCACTAAATTATTACAATATTTATTGACAAACATCTAAGAATAAAGATTGAAAAGTAAAAAGATAATTTCTTATATTTACAGTGTGATTTTGGTCACTAAGCAAAACAAATATCTTAAAATAAGTCAATTTAGTTTATATAAGTTAATTTATCATAAATTGAAGTAAAAATAAGTCAAGTCAATTCATTTTTTTAAACTATAAATTCTATAATTAGTTTCAACTTACCATAAATTAATAAATTGACTCACTTAAATATGTTTATTTATTTTATATATTTATTGTGATACAGTGTAAATTATTAAACTTAGTTACAGAAACAAAATAAAAATGTTAACCTATTTTTACAAGTCAAAAGTAACTGTTATAAAGTTAATAAAAGAAGATCATAACGTCAAGTGTGTAATTGAATTATATAATTGAAAAAACCATTCAAACAATATTAAACAATATTTAATTATTTAAACATATCAATTGTTAATTTACATAATAAAAAATAATATATAATTAATAAAAATATTATAAAGGGTTATTATTATAAATTACAAGTCAATATACTTTGAACTTCATATCAAAAAGTATATTTTTTTCTAATCCAAACATACTCAAATTCAGGGTAAATTGAATTTATTTAGAAATTTGAACTCACTTTAAAATGTCGAATAATTTATGACCACAATAATTACACTTTTGCTAATTTACTTCTACAACATACTAATTTCCTCCGTGCTACGTGCCCCCAATTCTTTCTTTCGTGCATTTTCAAAAGTTTTGAATTAGTGATATGAAAATGTTTGCAACCAAATATCACTCGATTCAAACATTTACATTTTTCTAATTACAATATTTTATTGGTCTGGTTAAATTTATTTTTAAAAAAATATTTAAAACAAATCAATCATAAATTACCATGTATGCGTTATAAAAAAATTATCAAAAAAAATTGTTAAAAAAATATTTTCTTCTCTAAAATAATTTGTAACGTGTTACCCCACAAACCATGTTCTTTCAACTTTTTGTGATGAAAAATCAGTGTGTCATTTATTTGGATGGAAATAGTTCTTTAGATTTGTTTATATTCGCTTCATAATGTTTTAGCAAAAATAGGGATATATTTATAAAACACTTTTCACACATACTTATTTACTTGTAAAATTAATATTTCATAACATGACATATTTATAGTTAAGATATAGATTTCATATAAAACTCCCTTTCTTAGTTTAGTAATAATATATTGATAACTATATCTCTTTTAAAGTATATTGAAATTACATTCGTGATACTTATACATATGAAGTTTTATTTAGAATTCATCTAACCAGATTTAATATATATGTAACATTATTTTATTTGACATAGATAAACGTTAAAGACGAAGTTGCGTAACTCCTTTTTTATATATTTAAAGTGAACTAGAGCAATAAAAAGAAGGATTTTCGAGTTTTTTTTCTTTTTGTTATTTTAATACTTGATAATTCATCCAAAAATAGATATCAGTGGGGCCTTATCTTTTATCCCACCAAGTAAAGTCTTTCATAACGTCTGTTTCAAGTAACTGTCTTTTTAACGTGTAAAAAATAATTTTTAATTATTCTTGTAAGTATAGGATTATGTATATTATATTAAAAATGACATAATTTTTAAAATAAAAGGATTAAAGTCAGGAAATTAAATATTGAAGGAGGAAAAGCACGTTCTAAGGATTATAAGAAGATAAAAGAAAAAAAGATGTCCATAAAAATTAAAATTTATCATTAGTTTTTACAATTTATTTGTGAAAATATATTGTTGAATATTCCAAGTTGTTGAGAGAGATGTTTGGTGGGTGTAGTAAGAAGCCGTCAAAGAGAAGAAGAAAGAGAGTGTGAAAGGGATGAATAGAAGAAGGAAGTTTGAGTGCCGTGGTGGTCTCAAACACCGTTACAGCGATACCTATCTTACCTCAATCATTTTCCTTTTCGTGTTGTTGCTCAAATTTTGCTTCATGTCTTTTCAATTTTTTTTTCTGTATTTTTTGGGCAATAAGAACTTACTACAGCATCTATGACTTTTTAATTAATTAATCAAATTATTAAAAAATAATTTTAAAGAAATGTAAATAATCTAAAGTTCAATATATATTAAAATTTAATTATTTACTTTAGTTTCAATTCTCAACTAAAAAGTGTTTTAATATACAAATTTTCTAAATCAAACTTCAATTGGTAATCCAATCTTTCAATGACCCATACAAAATGTTTTAACTTAGTAAAATCACGCAAGTTTATGCACGTATTTTCATTTTCATTTCAACTCTATACATAATTTAACTCTCAATAATTCATTAGGGAATAAACAACATAAACAAACTTCAAATGAAGACAAAATGAGTTACGTAAATTGTTTTTCTCAACCAATCAAATCAGTATCAAACTTAAACATAAAGCATAAAAAGAATTTCTAGGGTTCTAAAAGAAAATAGACATTTATATAGAATTATATCTTATAGTGGAAATGATCCTGGATTCACTCGTTACTATTTAGTAGGATCTAATCTTAAAAATAATTAGATGAAAGAGAGAAATTTACAGAGATGGAAGATAAGATACACTATATAGAAGCTTTGCTAAAGAATGGAAAGAAACAAAGAAGAAGAAAAATGAATTCTGTTTGAAATCAAAAATCTTTGACTTTTCAATGTTGACATGATTTATCTGAATAATTACTTTTACTTTCGAGAAATCAGTTTGAGAAGCACTTATACCGTTAGGAAGTTCTGAAACCATGACTAAAATATAGTAATTTGATTAAGACTGTACCTTCAAACCATCACTGCAAGAACTTTCTGATCGTTTAGAGCGTATAATGTTTTTGGCGATAAATTATTAGTGACCACATTTAAATTATTTTACAATTTATTTTTAATTTTCAAATGACAACAGTAATTTACGCATTATTTTTGTTAAATTATACGTGGCAATACTTTTAATTATAAGTGTCTATTTTATTCTTTCACTAATATAGAATTTTTAATTTGCAACTCGTGGCCTATACTACACTTCCAGATAATAAATAAATAAACATGGATTTATTTCTTTATCTAACACAGTCCTATACTTCTATATAGATATTTACATTTTTATATTTTAATATAATTTTTAGAACCCTAGTTAAATAATTCAAAAAATATCCCATAAATTACAAAACAACATATTAAAAATAAAAAAAATTGTGTATTTATTAAAAAGGTTTCACTTTAATTTTATTACATATATATAATATTGTTCCGTAATATCTCTTGTATCATTGACTGTGTAATGTGTTAGATTTGTTTTTAAACACGAGAAGAAGAAAAAAAAAGGTTTAATACCTATTTTTGTCCCTATTTTTATGGGTTTGGTTCAAAATGATCCTACCTTTTAAAAAAGTTCAGTAAGATCTCGTTAAAAAATATTCAGTCTGATCCTTTTTGCTCACACAGTTAAACATCTAACTGTGCAACCGAAGTGCAACCTTATTGAGTTGTCATGAATACGTGAACGTTACACTGTGTAAATATTAAAAAAAAATTAAAATGGCACATCACCTTCCACCTCCACCAGCTTCCCAAGCATGCCTCTCCCTCCCACTCTGATTCCGCCGGTTCCACTCCGACTCCGATGAAGAGGGATACAAATATCAGAGCAAAACCTTCTTATTTTTCACTCTCACACGTCCTAATCTCTTTGTGCACAGAAACTCTGAAAACCCCAAATCCCAAAAACTCAGAAACTTTGTGAACCCCAGAAACTCAATCTTCGCTGGAAAATGGAGAATAAGCTTTATTTGAACCGACGCCGAAGAAGATGCATCGCTGATTCGATTTCTAGGGTTTCGATTTCTTAACATTTTTCATCGTGTTTTTAATGTCTCAGTAATTAGTGCAATTTCTTTTGATGTGTGGACTCATTCATGAAATGTACTTTAATAAACCCAAATGTACAGGTGAACTCAAAATTGCAAAAATAACAATGTACAAGTGAACTCAAAATTGTCAAAGCTACCTTTTCACAAATTCAAGCTTTAACAAAAAAGCTATAACAGCTTAAAACCAAGGAAAAGGTAGAAAGGGCAAGTCACGGTTTAATTCCATGTTAGTAAGACTTGCATGCTAATTCCATGTTAGTAGGACTTGCAAGCAACAATTATATAACCCTTGTTTTTTATTGTGGAGAGGAGAGGGAGAGGGAGAGGGAGAGGGGGAGGAAAAAGGAGACAACGACCTCTAATGTCACGTGGAAAAAAACCTAAATTCACAATGAAGGTGAAAGATGAAGTTTTAAATTTTTTTTTAATATTTACACGGTGTAACATGCACGTATTCATCAAACTTGACAACTCAATAAGGTTGCGTCACGGTGGCATTTACAGTGTTAGATTTTTAACAGTGTGAGCGAAAAGGACCATGGTGAACATCTTTTAACAAATTACAGGACTTTACTGAACTTTTTTAAAAGGTAGGATCATTTTGAATCAAACTCATAAAAATAGGCAACAAAATACATATTAAAAAAAAAAAAATGAAACCTGAATAGTCCCTGTTCAGTGGAAAATGGCAGTCAACCATTGAACATCATCTTGCATTGTTATGTCATGTCATCATTCATGGGGGCCACTGCATTGTATTGTATTGTATGCAAAGTTGAAACTGGCAAACTGGACCTAACTCGTGCATTTTGATTTCCGCGTTTGCTGCAATCATCCTCTCCATTCACACTATTATTCTTCTGTTCTTCACCTCTGAATTACTCTTTTTTTAATCTCTTTTTTGAAGCTTACTTGAACTGCTTCCACAAAGGTGTTACCTTTTTCCTCCGTTGAACATGGGGTAGAAGGTTTTTCATTTGCTTCTTTGCCTTTTCCCACCTCAACTTCATCCAAATTCCCTTTTGAAGTTTTCTTACTAATACTATTTTCCTATTTAGTTTCGACGTGTCTTAGGAAGACAAACATATAAACCGGCCCTCTATCAGCTACCATGTCTTATTCATGAATTATTGGTTAGTTGTTCTTTTCTTTTCACTTCAATTAAATATTGTTGCTTGCTGACCCTATTGAGTTTGATTTTCTTTTTGTTTCAAAAGATCATTTTTTTTTTTATTTTAGATTTGTTGAATCAATATTCCCTTCCACCCCTCCTGAAAAAACTTATGCTTTGAATCGACTTTGGGTTCCTACTGTTGCTCACCCTTTAGTTTTTGTGACCTCTCTATGTAGCAGAAGGTAGATGCAAAGCGAGTCTGAACTGTGAACTCTGAAATGTTGAGGATGAGTTTTGGAGTCAAGTGGACCTTGAGTGCTTACCCGTTCTGTACAATTTTGAATTGCCTTCGCAATATTGGTTGGTGAATTGATAGTGAGAGATAGTCAATGGTTGTAACTTGGGTACATCTTGAGGAAATCAGTAAACTTAATAAGTTGGAGCTCCGTTGAAGTCGTAAAGATACGTTGAAAAAGATTATGAAGAGACAATTGACAGGTATACGGGGTGATTCTCCCCTGCAATCTGCAATACGAGCTGGGAATTTTGAATTGGTTCGGGAAATCATCTCTCAGAGTCCCGAGGGAGAATTAAAGGAGCTTCTTTCAAAGAGAAACAACTCGTGTGAAACTGCCTTATATGTTGCAGCTGATAATGGTCATCTTGATATAGTGAAGGAATTAATTAGATACCATGATGCTGGGTTGGCCGGCTTCAAAGCTCGAAATGGATTCGATGCATTCCACATCGCTGCTAAGAATGGACACTTGGGTAAGTCTCTTAATGATCTCAAATGGGTAGGTGTAGGATCCTAGCTATTGATTACTACATATTGTTTGTTGGTCCACTTGACATTACTATATCAGTACCAGATTAGGGTGTTTTCTAAACCCTTTTTAGCATACAAGCACTGTTGCGGTAATTTAACTTCTTTTTTAGGAATGCTATGATATACATATTTTAACAATTCTTGCTTAATTTGTCCAGAAGCTTGGTCATGTACTGATTTGATACCCAATATGTATTATTTATCTAAGATTTAAATGCTTTTTGTTTTTCAAATTTCCCAGAATCTTTGTGAACGCTAGCTTTTTAGGTTTAATAGTCTTATTTCTAAATTATATCATTATTACTAATTTGAACTTTGGATTTGTCTGAATGATTTTCACTTTTACTTATTTGCAGAGATATTGAAGGTCCTCATGGAGTTTATTCCTGAAATTTCAATGACTGTTGATCTGACAAACACCACTGCGTTGCATACTGCTGCAGCACAAGGACATATTGAGGTAGTAAATTTTCTCTTGGAAAATGGTAGCAGCTTGGTAACTATTGCGAAAAGCAATGGGAAAACTGTGTTGCATTCTGCTGCAAGAAATGGTCATGTGGAGGTAGTCAAGGCCATTCTGAACAAAGAACCTGAAATTGCAGTGAGAATGGATAAGAAGGGGCAGACAGCGCTCCATATGGCAGTTAAAGGACAGAATCTTGAGTTGGTGGATGAGCTTGTGAAACTGAATTCATCTTTGGCTAATATGGTGGATGCCAAGGGAAACACTGCACTGCATATAGCAACCAGGAAGGGTCGTTTACAGGTAGAAAAAGATGCTTTCCCTTTTATGTTTCATCTCTTAAGAAAGTACTGATGATGTATCGTTCTGCGTCAACTGAAATATTGCTACTGCTTCTTGCCATCAGATTCTAGAGTTCTTCATCATCAAAGATCATGAACAAACTAAATTTTCTTTATTAGGGCAAGAATGTTTTCTTTCTTTGATACTTCAGAAAGGGTATGGCTTTAATAACATTGTTTAATAGACGGCATATTTCTATCAGCACTTCATAGTAATTAAAATTTAAATTGGAGATTTTTCCAAAGGTAAATGTTTGTTCGTGTCAAGCTTAACTTCTGCCTGAATTTATGAACTTAAACAGTTTGATTAGGTTCTGCAACCATAGTAAGTAAATTTAATATTTAGGTACTAATCTCGCAGGTTGTTCAGAAGCTACTAGATTGCAAAGAAATAGACACAGATGTTGTTAACAAATCTGGAGAAACTGCCTTGGATGCTGCAGAGAAAAATGGTCGGTTGGAAATCTCGAACTTTCTGCAACACCGGGGAGCACAAAGTGCCAAGTCCATCAAATCACCTAATACAAACACAGCCCTTGAGCTGAAACGAACAGTGAGTGACATAAAAAGTGGGGTTCATAACCAGCTGGAACACACTTTCAAAACACAGAGACGTATGAGAGGTATAGCGAAGCGAATTAACAAAATGCACACTGAAGGGCTTAACAATGCCATCAACTACAACACTATTGTGGCTGTCCTAATTGCAACAGTTGCTTTTGCTGCCATATTTAATGTCCCGGGCCAGTATCCCGAGCAACAAGATAAACTCTCTCCTGAGATGTCTCCTGGGGAAGCATACATTGCTCCTGATATTGGATTCAAGATATTCATAATCTTTGATTCTACTGCCCTCTTCATATCATTGGCTGTTGTGATTGTCCAAACATCAGTGGTTGTTATTGAGAGGAAAGCAAAGAGACAAATGATGGCAGTTATAAACAAGCTGATGTGGGTGGCTTGTGTGCTGATTTCTGTGGCGTTTATTGCAATGTCATTCATAATTGTTGGAGATCATAAAGAGTTGGCTATAGCAGCCACAGCTTTAGGGACAGTGATTATGGCAGCAACTTTAGGAACACTCTGTTATTGGGTGATTGCTCACCGCCTTGAGGCCTCAAGATTGCGAAGTCTTCGAACAACAATGAGCAGTAGGCAGTCAGTGTCTTTGTCAATGATGTCAGGATCGGAGAATGAGTACAAGACAGTGTACGCCATATAACTTTGATTTCTACCATTTCGGAGTTCTTCTCCTTTTTTGTCAAATTACACTAACATTGATGTAGGTGTTTGTTCTTAGCAGAACAAACATTAACTAATGTTACAAAAGCATACACGCCTTTGCAGAACACAGGCAAAATGTGTAATCATTGTCCACTTTATATGTGAATGACCATTCTAAATTGAAAGTGTTGGATTATGCTTATTTTCTCAGTAGCTTCATCATAAAATAAATATTATACAAACTTTTCTCTATGGGATTTTATTTATTTATAGATCAATTATTATGGCTTGCAAGAAGATTGCTGTAAATGAGTTACTAGTATTCCTTACCTCAACTTTCTGTTTTAGAAGAGAGTATCAATTTCCTTAATTAGCACCAAATAAGAGATCATGGCCACCACCAAAAAAGAAAAAGGAAGAGTGAAGTAGGTTCACTTCTGCATCTTGGGCCAATCAAGTGATATTTTAATAATAATAATAATAATTTACTATTATTATTATTATTATTATGAATAAGACTACTTACTTTGGCCACCTGATTTGTGTATAATAAGACAAAGGAAAAATAAAACAGAAAGATTTGCTTTAGGGATTACTGGCAAGTTAGAAAGACTGCCATGTGTATCACTTTACTACGTTAAATGAGTGTCCACTTTCTATGATTTGGGAAATAAAATAATACTGTGGCAAGACATGTAATTTTCTGAATATATCAGGTTAAGTTTTCTTTCCTTCAAAATAATCTTAGGAGAAAATGAGGGAAAAGAAATTCAACACTACCTTCTGGCACATGGTCCGTGCAGAAATCAGTGTAATTTCTTGTCAAAACCTCTGTCCTTTGCTGACTCCTTGATTTCTATATTTAATTTATTCATGTTTATTAGTTAGAATCTACTATTTGTCCGTTGTAAGCAAAGAAGTAACGAGGGGTGATAGGAATAAACAATGATCTGAATGAAGTTCGAACATTGTTGGAATGTAAGTGCCTAAGTAATGCCAAATTATAATATTGTTCATTCAACGTCTTCATCAATCAAAGTACAATCCATGAGAATCTGCATTGTGTTTTGAGAAGGAAAAAAGAGATGTGGGCTAAAAACCTAAGTGGGTAGAAGCATGATGTGAGGTGTGTTAGCTGCAACTTGATATATATATGCCTGGTAAGAACAGGTCGTGGAAAGTTACGTGCGAAAAAGAAACGTAATTTTTTCTTTCCGTTGTGTCTTTTGCTAATTTTTTAGCAGTAAACATTTATAAGAATAATAAAAGGAAAGAATGAATATACGACAATAAACTAGCAGAAGATTTCAGTGCAAACTATCCACATGAAAATAATGATTTTGAGGCTTTGAATATCCGCTGACATTACTGACGTGTTCCACTTGGTCACTGACCCAACAGTGCCACCTTCGTATTTTTCTCTGGAAAGGGTCAAAAGGATATGATCGTTGATCAATATTTACTTATACGTGTGCTTATAATGCTCCTTTTGTTGTCGTCTTATGCATACATATTTTGACTTTTCTATCAACAGTTTCCTGTTCAAACAAACTCTCGTAAACCAGTGCTTACGTTGCCATTTGCTAGCTACTTGGAGGTGTCTGGTTCGATAAATGCAAAGGAAGTGCTAATAATGCATTGGTATTGTCGTGTACGAGGATCATAAACACTACAGCATGCAAATTATCTGGTAGTTGAAAATTTCTTGAGTTGGGATTTGTTTAGGGGAATTGAAGCAGCATTATTTTTCGTAGGAGGAACACCAATCAAGACTAGATCAGTGGCTTGACAATTTGATGTGACTAACACAACTTGCAACTCTCAGATGATTTCAACGAAACCCACGAGATCTGTTCGGTTGCTGCTTTCTTCTTCCCCTTTGAAATGTGCAAGATGAACACAAAACAACAAATAATTTCTCACAATATGTAAATATGTCTCTACCAGTTAACTCACACAACGGAACATCTTTAATGTTAATAAAAAAATAAAGCTATTATATTTGTTAATTTTCTAGAAACAAAAAACTTTCAGAACTGAAAAACTTGAACTTTTATTATACGGTTCTTTATATAAAATGTTTAATAAAACTATTAATTTGTATTACTATCGAAGTAGAGGTGAATTTAGTATGGGAGGCAATATTTTCAAAGGAGGGACACCAATCAACACTAGCCATTGGCTTCACAATTTGACGTGACTATTGCAAGTTGCAACTCTTGGATGCTATCGATGACACCCACGAAGATCTGTTCGGTTGGTGCTTTCTTCTTCTTCTTCTTCTTCTTAAACTACCGGGACCCTTCAAATACAACTGTACCAGATGTAAAGAAACAAACAAATCACTTCACAGAATACGTAAATGTCTCTAGAACCTTCTATCAATGCAAACCTATAATATTTTTATCATATTATTATGATATTAATCAGACATTAAGCATAGTACAAATTTGAAAGGTTTCACCTTTAAGATCGACACACAACCATCCATTTGCATTGCCTTGCCACCCAAGTACACATCAATTTAGCTGAACTTTGAGCTGTAGAATAATCATGTACTTTGGTTTTCCACATTTGATTTAATATGCATTTACCTTTGGGGACAGATTCTAAGTTAGGACTTCATCTTGTACGGATTCTAAACTAGAATAGTGGTATAGTCAGTGGCTTCATGCTGAAGAGCTTAACAGCTTTAGCTTTTCTGGAAGATTCTTTAAATATTTATCATGAAAAAAGAAAGAGTACAAGAACTTAGACAGAGGGAGCGGGAGAGAGATACGTATATAGTTTTATCCATTGACCATTAGGACTGTGAATGAAGAACAAAGCCCGTTGGCGGGGGAAAATAATTGCTTGTTCTTTGTGTTTTGTTTCATGTGTTTGTCTAATGAGTACACTGCGTTACAACATTCACGTATTGGTGCAACTTCGGAGTCCCCGCATGTGATTGAGTTTCATGTTCGTGTGTAGTTCAAAACCAAAAGAAACGAAGAACGGAAGAAGTGCACGCGTAAAGGTTTAATTGTCTGCAGAATAATTGTAAACTAGATTATTTGTTTAATGTGACATCTGCAGAGTATATGCCCCGCAATGGCAAGTTGTGACGTGTGTGGTGGTGGCTTTATTCGCCCTTTACAGAATGAAAACGGGAATTCTTTACTTTACTTTTGTTCTAAAATTGAATTAAAGGGAGACATATATTGCATTGTTACACTTGGGTAATTACATTACATCAAAGATATACAGTTGAACCATTTTAGCTGTACACTGCAGTCAACTATGTCTGTCTGTGGTGCTTGGCTGGGGATTCGTTGTTAGTAATGATGCTTGTTTTTAAAAAGGGATAAGTCGGCGAGGAAAAGGTTTGAGGCACCAAATGTACCATGATTTTCACATCTCACATATGAGACTACTCTTTACCACTTTTTAGGCTTTTTCTTCCTCCAAAAAGGTGAATGGCTGTTACTAACCTTTTTTGGGTCACTGTTAGGTTATTCTAAATGACTTTCAACTTTTTCCCTCCCTTCTTTTCACACAAAAGCTTAAAACGATTAAACAAATCTGAGAAAAGGGAAAGGATATAAACATCGCATTCATCATTTACATACACTACCACATCATCCTATCTGTTATCTCTGTCGAACTCTGAAGGAATAATTGCTGGGAAAGCCTGATGCAGTCATTGAGAATCTAGTTCTGGGGAAATGAGTCAGATTCAGAACATTAGACTTGGCAGTTGGTAAAAAATTCACCCTTTACAGTGGAACCAAACTAAGAAAAACAGTCAAAAAATTCTGAGGATTTTTCATCGTTTGGGTGCAGTTAATCTATAGTATACAGTATCTAGAGGGGCAGCTTTGTGATCTTAAAGGAGGTATGTGACAGCTTAGGATATCTGAGACAAAGTAACTACAATTAAGTGAGATTTGTATGTGGGGGCTGCGTTTTAGTGTAAATTGTTGAACAATCAAATCCACAAATCTCGTGGAGTGGCACAGGAGGGTTGATTGAGAAGTGTGGACCAATTTCAAATTTAAAAAGACAAGAACACGGTATCCTATCATGGCGCTTTGTCATAGAGAAATCTCATGACGACTTATCATAACTATGCATTATTTAAAAAACGAAAGTCACTTTCGCTTGAGTGAATTTGCATTCCCATGGACTAATTATAGCAACTGTTACAGCTAAAAGATTCAATTTCACTCAGTATGCAACATGTACAAGAATTGACAGAGCGAGAGAGAAAGAGAGAGAAGCTAGAGTACCCATTTAACAAATTAATGCTTCAAACCAAGCTATTTACTCAAGCATCAAACTCTTTTAACACACAGTTACATTTCAAATGAGAAAGTCGTTCCTTTTAACAATCGCACTTTCCCTTCGCTGGTTCACCCAAGTGCTTCTTATCAATTCCTTATTTCCACAAACTGCAGATTTTGAACAAACATTGGTCGAACCACCCTTTTCCTGGGACTTTTTACAATGAGCGATGGCACTCTCGATTGAATTCTCCAGCTCCGCACTTATACTCCTGTTGAACAACTGCAACTCATAAGACCCAGCTGAACTGAGTGAAAAAGACGAAGACGAAGAGGATGACCCAGAAGAAGAGGAGGACAAAGATGAGGCCTTTGAAGCATAATGCCGTTGAATCACCCCAGAGAAAGACCTTCTGCTGCTGTTAGTGAACCCATCTTCAACCACGTCACTGTTCTTGACCATACAAGATCTCTGCCTACGGTGCTTGTTGTCACAAAAAAGCTCAAACGGTTTTTTGTTTCTGTGTCTGTTTTTCCTGGCATCATCCTTCGCGTATTCCATGCTCTGGCACTCCTTGCATTTCGCTTTCTTCACTGCCCCCACTTTGCTTGTTGCATCACCGGCAAAGGTCTTATCTGAGCAGCCAGATTTGCCGAACAAAGATTTGAAGTAAGTTTTTGAAGCCTTGAGCCTTTGAGCGAGCCAGAAGTGCTTGGTTTGCTTCTTTGGAAGATGGTGATGATCACTGACCAAGCCTTCTATCTCAGAGGACCAATCAAATTGATACTCAGAAGAAAGCGTTTCGCAGGAACTAACCCTGCGTGACTCGGAGGGAGAGATGTTGCAGGATTCAAGAGGGGTGATGGCATTTGTTGAAAGAAACCTACTTTCTTCCAATGATGAGTGTGATCTTGTGAAACCAAAGGTTGCATCAGCGTTCTGGAGGA